CGGCCACTGCTGGGAAATGACCGTGGCACTAAATATAACACGAGCTGGGCACCTGTTGTTCTGTTTTATTCCTTTTGTTCATTTTCAGGGAGCAAATTTGTTTAAGCTGGGAACTTTCTGTTCTTTAAAAGTTTGGTGAATTCACACCCACAAAACAACATGTGGCTGAAGCTTTTGAAGGGGAGCAGGAATAGCTTTCACCACCACTTCAATTTTCTTCTTGCACAGTGTTGGTGTTTTGTATTTTTTCAGGATTGTATCTATTTAATCTCTATTTTCAAATTTATTAGCTGAAAATAATATAGTTCCCAATTCCCTCCCTTTTTAAATTTTATTTAATTTTTATTGAAATATAATTGACATGTAGCATTACGTTAGTTTCAGGTATACAAAATAATAATTTGATGTTCATATATATATATTTTAAACACTTTTTATTGAGTTACAGTCATTTTACAATGTTGCGTCAAATTGATATTTGTATATATTTTGCAGTGATCACCACCATAAGTCTTGTTAACATCCATCATATAGAGTTACAATTTTTTTCTTGTGATGAGAACATTTAAGAGCAATGATTTTAGCAATTTTCAAATATGCAATACAGTGCTATTAACTATAGTCACCATGCTGTACATTATGTCCCCAAATATATATATATTACATATATGTATATATAGCTCACATTTTCTTTATCCATTGATAGATACTTAGGTTGCTTTATGTCTTGGCTATTGTAAACAGTGCTGCAATGAACATGGTGGTGCATATGTATTTTCAAGTTAATGCTTTTGTTTCCTTCAAATACATACCCAGAAATGGGATTGCTGAATCATATAATAGTTATATTTTTAATTTTTTGAGGAATCTCTGTACCATTTTTCCATGGTGGCTACATCAATTTATATTGCCACCAACAGTTTGTACAAGGGTTCCCTTTTCTCCACACCCTCACCAACACTTGTTACTTCTTGTCTTTTTGATAATAGCCACTCTAACAGGTATGAGGTGGTACCTCATTATGGCTTTGATTTGCATTCCCTTGATGCTTAGTGATGTTGAGCACATTTTTATGTACCTGTTGGCCATCTGTATGTCTTTTTTAGAAAAATGTCTATTCAGATCCTCTGCCCATTTTTTAATCAGGTTGTTTTTGTTTTTGTTTTTGCTTTTGACTTGTATGAACTCTTTACATGTTTTGGATATTAATCTCTTATCAGATATGTGATTTGAAAATATTTTCTTCATTCAGTAGGTTGTCTTTTCATTTTGTTGATTGTTTCCTTTGCTGTGTGGATACTTTTTGGTTTGATGTTATCCTACTTGTTTATTTTTTAATTTAAAATTTTTTATATTTTTAATTAATTAATTTCTTAAATGGAGGTACTGAGGATAGAACCCAGGACCTTGTGTATGCTAAGCAGGCACTCTACCACCGAGCTATACCCTCTCCCCAATTTGTTTATTTTTGCTTTTGTTACTTTTGCTTTTGGTATAAAATCCAAAAAAATCATCACCAAGATTCATGTCAAGGAGCTAACGCCTTATGTTTTTTCCTAGTATTTTCATGGTTTCAGGTCATACATGTAAGTCTTTAATCTATTTTGAATTTATTTTTATGCATGATGTGGAAAAATAGTCCACTTTAATTCTTCTGCCTGTAGCTGTCCAGTTTTCCCAATACCATTTATTGAAGAGGCTATTTTTTCCCCATTGTATATTCTTGACTCCTTTGTCATAGATTAATTTCCCACAAAAGTGTGGGTTCGTTTCTGGGCTCTCTATTCTGTTCCATTGAGCTTTGTGGCTGTTCTTGTGCCAGTAACATACTGTTTTGATTACTATAGCTTTGTCATATAGTTTGAAATCAGGGAGTACAATATCTCCACCTTTGTTCTTCTTTCTCAAGATGTTTTCACTATCTAAGGTCTTTTGTGTTTCCAGACGAATTTTAGAATTATTTGTTCTAGTTCTGTGAAGGATTCCATTGTTATTTTAATAAGGATGGCATTGAATCTGCAGATTGTCTTGGGCAGTATGGTCATTTTAACAATATTAATTCATCTAGACCATGAGCACAGTATATCTTTCCATCTCTTTGTGTTGTCTTTAGTTTCTTTCATCAGTGTCATAGATTTCTGACTACAGGTCTTTTGCGTCTTTAGTTAGATTTATTCCTAAGTATTTTATTCATTTTGACACAATTGTAAAATGGGATTGTTTCCTTAATTTCTCTTTCTGATTGTTCATTTTTAGTGTATAGAAATGCAACAGATTTTTGTGTATTAATTTTGTATCTTGCAACTTTAGCAAATTCTTTAATGAGTTCTAGTAATTTTATGGTGGCTTCTTTAGAATTTTGTATGTATAGTCTCATGTCATCTGCAAACAGTGACGGTTTTACTTACTCCTTTTCAATTTGATATCCTTTTATTTCTTCTTCTTGTCTGATTGCTGTAACTAGGACTTTCCAATACTATGTTAAATAAAAGTGGCAAGAGTGGGCATCCTTGTCTTGTTCCGGATCTTAGAGATAATGCTTTCAGTTTCTCACCATTGAGTATGAGCTGTGAGCTTGTCACATGTGACCTTCCTTATGTTGAGATATGTTTCCTCTTTACCCACTTTGTTGAGAGTTTTTATCATAAGTGGGTGTTGAATTTTGTGAAAAGCTTTTTCTGCATCTATTGAGATGATAATGAGATTTTATTCCTCAATTTGTTAATGTGATATATCACATTGATTGGCAGATGTTGAACCATCCTTGCATTCCATAGGATAAATCCCAGTTGACCATGGTGTATAATACTTTTAATATATTGTTCAGTAGGGTTTGCTAATATTTTGTTGAGGATTTTTGCATCTATGTTCATCAGTGATATTGGCCATAATTTTCTTTTTTGTATGTGATGTCTTTGTCTGGTTTTGGTATCAGAGTGATACTGGCCTCATAGAATGAATTTGGAAGCATTCCTTCCTCTGCAGTTTTTTTGGAATAGTGTGAGAAGGATAGGTCTTAACTCTTCTCTAAATGTTTGATAGAATTTAGCTGTGAAGCCACCTGGCCTGGACATTTGTTTGTTTGGTGCTTTTTAAAATTACTGATTCAGTTTTATTACTGTTAATTTGTCTTCATATTTTCTATTTCTTCCTGGTTCAGTCATGGAAGATTGTACATTTCTAGGAATTGGTCCATTTCACCTAGGTTGTCCATTTTATTGGCATGTAATTGTTTGTAGTCATCTTTATGATGCTTTGTATTTCCGTGATGTTGGTTGTAACTCTTCCTTTTTCATTTCTGCCCACATACCAGTGAGCAGGCATCATCCCCAGGACCTCCTGGGACCCAGCCCTGCTAACCAGTGGGCCGACACCAGCTCTGGGACACGTTGGGCCCCTCAGCCAGCTGACCCAGGATCTGGCCTCATGCACCAACAGGCTGACACAAGCTTTTGGGGACACATAGAACCCCACAGCTAACTGTGTTAAGAACTAACACCACTCACCAAACAGGCCAACACTAGTTCCAAGACCATTGATCCTTTAGCAACCCTCCCTGGAACCTGGCTTTACCTACCAATTTGCCAGCACTAGCTGCAAGAGTCCCTGGGCTCTGTAGCCAGCCTCCTAGTGACCTGGCCCCGTCCACTAGTGGCCAAAAGCCTCTGCATAAGGCAGCCTCTGGGTCTGACAACCAACTGGTCTGGGAGCCAACCATGCCTAATAGACTGCCCACAGTAGTCAGCCCACCATAACAGAAGGACCCAAGGGGAGGGTATAGCTCAAGTGGTAGAGCATATGCTTTACATGCATGAGGTCCTGGGTTCGATCCCCAGTACCTCTTCTAAAAGTACATAAACCTAATTACCTCCTCCCCCCAAAATAGAAAAAATAATTTAAAATAATTTAACAATAAATAAATAAAATGTTAATAAATAAATAAATAAGCCTAATTACCTCCCCCCTCCAAATTTTTTTTAATTAAAATGACCTGGGGAGTTTTAAAAATATCAATGTCTCAGCTCCCCACCCTAAATCAACTAACCGAGAACCTCAACAAGTGAAATGGGACATGATGTTTTTGAAAGCCCCCCAGATGATTCTAAAGTACCATGAGGGTTGAGAAACTGCTTTCATCTCGTCTTTTCATTTTACTGATGCCCAGAGAACAGAAGTGACCTGCGGAGGCCACACAGAGGTTAGACTCATTCAGACTCGGAAACGAATGGTCTCGGCTCTGTCCTACTGCTCACTGGCCCTTTCTGTCCGGGGCACCCTCACTTCTTCCTCCACCTCTAAGTCTGGGGCCAGACGAAGCCTCTTTACCTACTGCTCTCCGTGACCAGATGACTCAGTTCTTAAACAGCTTCCCCGCCTGCAGTGTGATCTCCTTCAGGGCTGAACCAATCCCTTCTGAGGGTCTGGCGCCTTCCCACCTAGGGTGGAGTTTCCAGTCTTGGCTCCGTAGCGCAAACCTTCGAGGACCTCAGTTTCTGCCCGGAAACATGGGCCACCAGTTCTACCCTCAGAGCTGGGTTTGCCATCAGGCTCCTCCTAATGGCCTGGGAAGGGCTCTCACAGTCTTGTAGTCACACTTTTCTGGGGGTAGTAGTGGTGAGTGCTTATGTTAATTTCTATATATATATATTTATATATATTTTTACCAATGGAGGTGCTGGGAACTGGACCCAGGACCTCATACATGCTAAGCACACACTCTAGCACTTCGGACGCCACAAAACTGGGATCTGCTCCTCCCTACCCCACAGGGTTGCTGTGGGAAATCAATAAAAGTCGGTTTATAAATTGACACAACATTGTAAACTGACTATACTTCAATTAAAAAATAAATATGCAAAAAAAGAAGAAAGAAAATAATTACAAATGAAAAAGAGAGTCTGTTGATAAAGTGTGGGATGGGCAGCAGAGGCTCCATCAATGTGACTTCCTTCCAGAACAGCTGAGAAAACGAATGGAGAGAAAGACAGACAGCCACAGTCGGTGTGCTTATTCCACACCCCCTTTAATGTCCCATAGGCTGCTATTCAACAACCCACCCTCACCCCAGGGTGGCTCCTGGGGTCCAGACACACGTGGGAGGGATGCTAAGGCACCACCTGGCTCTTGAGGGGGGCCTCCTCAGCTCCAATGTGGCTATGGATCCAGTCAAGGTAACGGCTGACTTTGGTGTAAACGCCGTATTTGTCGGGGCGCCCGCAGCCCTCCCCCCAGCTCACCAGGCCCACCAGGAACCAGGTGCCCCGGAAGGAGGCGACCATAGGCCCCCCGCTGTCCCCTCCGCAGGCATCCCGTGTGTCCCCGAGAATGCCCGCGCACAGCATGTTCTCGGAGATCTCGTTCTGCATGGTCTGGACGCAGTCGCTGTGCGAGGCCAGGGGGACCTTGATGAAGTTGAGGATGAAGGTGCGGTTTCTCTTGGCCTCGCTGCGGTAGCCCCAGCCCGTCACCATGGTCTCCTGGCCAGCCTGGGTGAGCTCGCGCTCTGAGAGGCCACTGTCTGGGAGGCAGATGGGCACAATGGTTGGCGAGAGAGTGGCGGGCCGGGCCAGGCGGAGCAGGGCGATGTCATTGTCACTGGTGCTCTTGGTATAGTTGGGGTGCAGGACGATCTCTTTGATGTCCACATCCACCTCCGAGTTCTCCCAGCGCCGCAGGTCATACTCCCCTGCAGGGCGGAGGGGCTGTCAGAGCGGGCTTGGGGGAGCCTCCCCCACCGCGGGGTCCTCCTCACTCCCTAGGGGCCTCCCACAGGCCCTAGGTGGGGCGGGGAGCGGGTCCACAGCTGGAGTGGTCACCGCGCATCCCCGGCACCATCCCAGGCCACAGATCTGGACCTTAGATCCCTGTCAATGGGCACAGCCCGTCAGTGTCCATCCTGAAGGGGCAGGAAGGAGGCTGCTCTGAACTCAGGACTGGCTCACAGACGGAGCAGGGAGGCCTGGGAAGTGACCAGCCGTGCGTGGGCACTCGGCAGGGAAGCCCAAAGCTCCCTGGATACCAGACACACAGACCAGAGCCACCGAGAGAACATGGAAAGCCTGCGATTGGAGAGACACGACTCTCCGGCCAGCAGCGGCCTGGCCAGCAGTGTGTGAGGCAGGGACAGGCCATGGTGGGGGTGGGGCAGGAGCCGCAAGACCCAGATAGGAGACCCAGCAGGACACACACTCCGCCAGGGGAGAAGGATCACACACAAGACACCAGGTCTTCTCAGGCAAGGTTCCTGGAACATTGTGGGGATGGGCAGCTGGAAATTCCAAGCCGAGCCCCACGGAGGCCACTGGCCCTTGGTGGTGCTGGATGTAATTGTAGGGAGTGTGAATTCGGTTGTTCATTCTCCATAAATCTTTCCCTTCCTTTTTGCAGAAATTGTGGCGTGAGGGCCCCCCACCCCCAGAAATTGGTATAGAGTAGGGCCTGGACAGTTGCAGGGAAGCAGCTGGCTGCCTGGTAAATGCCAGGGCCCCGCAACACAATCTGTCCCTGTCAATCTGGGTGAGGCATGGCCATGAGCCAGGCCAGTGAGGCCTCCGGGGTCTCTGTGCCCAAGGGCGCTGTGGGTCCACACACACAGAGTGAGGTGCTGAGTGTGTGTGGCACCCCCTCACTTGCAAACACACATGTGGAAGCACCCAGGCACCCGATTTGAAGAGAGTCCATTATGTGCAAAATACCAGGTGTCCCGGTGTCTAAAATTCCACCCCAAGGGTAGCAGGCTAGTAGCACACAGGCCTCCTCCCCCCAGGTGCCCCAGAGACCAGGCTCCACACCTGCCAGCCCATCGGGGCCCTCTCCCTCCCTCCTGGTTCCAGCCCACACCCAGCCTGACGGTGAGCTTCTTGGGGTCGTCGAAGCAGTGGGCCGCCGTCAGCACCCAGGAGGTGTGGATGAGCACCGCCCCACACGCCAACCTCTTTTTCGAGTCCAGCAGGATCACCTGGGGGTAGGGGTGGGCAGTGACATCACAACATTGCCTGCTGGCAGCTCTGAGCCGGGGCCCCAGGCTCTCAGCACAGCCCTGGGGCTCAAGCCGGAGGCACTGGCTGTGTAAGCAGGTCTTTCCTGGGTTCCCTGCTCACACGGGCATGGAATCACAGCGCTTTCATGGCATCTTCTATTTCTGCGTGTTTGATGGCATTCACCTATTCCAGGGCATCCCCCCGCCTTTGTCTGTGATCACCCTCTGCGGCATCCAGAGAGTTCTTCCCACCCTCGGGGCTCAGGCGATGTCTTGAGACCTGCAGGAAGCCTTTGAGGCCCCCAGGCTGCCTTGGTGCCCACCTCAGGGTTCAGCCCCTGCCTGTCCTGCCAACCATCCTGGCTCTGGCTGCATCAGGTTGCTGTGCATTTAGAGGCCCAACCCTCCTGGGGGCCACGGGCTCCCCAAGGCCTGCCGATCCCCTGCTTATTGATCACTGGATCCCCCACCCAAGTGCCAGGCAGAGACAGGAATCAAATAGGTGTTAGTTCCCATGGGGAGGCTGGAGACATACTCAGGGGTCAACCTTCCCTCCGAGCCCTCTTCTGCTTTAAACACTGCTCCCCTCAGCCAGGTCTCTCCCTGAAATGCTACCAGCAGAGCATTACCTTTCCAGCTTGTTTTGAGAACGATGCCTCTCCTTCCTACACATGCCCCAGGCTCCCGGGCCCCATTAGGTTAGTGCCATCTTTCTCCAGAACCCTCCACCCTTAGCACTACCCACTCCACCATACTCCCCCCAAGGCAGCCCTTCCCTCCCCATTTGTGCGTCCTGAGCGGGAGCTCCCAGCTGGGGCTCAGGGACCCTGACCCAGCTGGTGAGCTGCGTCTGCTCTCACCTGCCAGGGGCTTTCTCCCCATCTGGTCAACTTCCCATTGGTGAGCCGTGGATCCACTTGGTCTCCTTGGTCTCTCTGGTCTCCATTTTCTTGGTCTCCTTTGTTTACTTGGTCTCCTTGGTTTTCTTGGTCTCTTTTCTTTTCTTGGTCTCGTTGGTTTTCTTGGTCTCCTTTGTTTTCTTGGTCTCCTTGGTTTTTTGGTCTCCTTGGTTTACTTGGTCTCCTTGGTTTTCTTGGTCTCCTTTGTTTTCTTGGTCTCCTTTGGTTTTTTGGTCTCCTTTGTTTTCTTGGTC